GCTTAGGTATTGATGATCCTGGCTGCTCTCAGCCTTGAATATTTGGCTCAAACAAAAATCCATAACTTCCTTCCCAGAAGAGTTTTGCAGATGAGGAAGGCAGATTTGAAGTCAAAGTTTCAAGCTCTTTGTAATGGTATGCAATTTGCAGTGGTCGGCCACTTCGACTACGTGACCCTCCCTTGTAAGCATTGTCAGGAAGACGGCGCACGGCGCGAAGAATCAGAATTTGGACGGCGGATTCAAATCTATGGGCTGTTCCTGAGGTTCAGAGCTTGATGCACAGTTTAGGACTCAATTATAGAAGGTCACAAATGCCAAAAAATCGAAAGTCTTTCTACTATATCATCAATAAGATGCCTCGAAATGTAGTCACTTTGAAACCATGAAAATTTAGCAAAGACTGGAATTTACCTATTGCAGAAAAGTGAACACACATGTGTATCGATGAAAGTTCTGAATACAACTTACTGTCGTTGTTTTCGGGTCCCTTGACAATCTTGAAATGTAGTATATTCTCGCCAATCATCAAAGTAAATCGTTCTAGAGGTCCCCGTCTTCTCGCAAACGTAGATTGCTAAAGCGCTATAAATTTGATTGCCATTAGGTAATTTCTCAGAATTATATTACCTGAGAATTCTGCACCCGATCCTCGGATAGAGCTTCACTGCCTGCAAATCGAGCGTTCAAAAAGTTAAACCATCACGTATTCTACCAACCTCCCCTGTTTGATTGTGCAGGATCGAATAGAGATTCATAAGGAAAGGTAGCTTCTTTCTGGAAGCCATTAGGTGTTCTGAAATTTTCAAACGGATAAAAAGTTCTCGAAATGCAAAAAAAACGCAACAAGCAAAATAAAAAGCTTCTCACCTATAACATCTTGAGTCGACAAGCTCGATCCCGCGCACATCATTCGTATACCATTGAGACTTCTCATCTGCTGATGACGGTGAATCTTTGAGCTTCAAATGTTCATCACCGGGTCCGCTTTCCGTTTCTGCTGCAATGATTTTCATGGAACAGTGTCCATGTATATGCCACTGATATCTCACATTCGGAAGACATCCTCTGCATAGCGTAATTCCTCGATTCCAAAACTTCGAAGGTTTCTTCGCTCCCCAAGGAAGGCTCATCCGAAGAACGCAAAGAAGCGG